GCACGGTCTTGTCCTTGGTCTCCCAGGTTCGCTCCCCGTGTTTCCCTCCTCTCCCGCCCCACCTTGCATGCCTTGTGTCGAGGGTCGGCTTCGCCGTGCCCCTCACTCCTCCTCGTTTCCCCCTACCGCCACGCCGCTGCAGACCCTGCACCTGGACGTCTGGGGCCCCGCCCCCGTCCCTGGGCCGCGTCGAGAGCGCTACTTCCTTGTGCTTGTCGACGACTTCACTCGTTACACCACAGTCTTTCCCCTGGAGCGCAAGGCCGACGTGCCTGGCGCTCTCATCCCCTGGCTTGTCTCTGCGCGTGTCCACCGCGGTCTCCCTGTCTTGCGTCTTCACTCAGACCGTGGTGGCGAGTTTGCCTCCGGTGTCCTTGGTCGCTTTTGTCGTGCGGAGGGCATCACCCAGACGTTCACCCTACCCGACTCCCCACAGCAGAATGGGGTCGCTGAGCGACGCATCGGTTTGGTCATGGAGGTCGCTCGCACCTCCATGATCCATGCCGGTGCACCCCATTTTCTGTGGCCGTTCGCTGTGCGCTACGCGTCTCACCAGCTTAACCTGTGGCCGCACCCTCAGCAGCCGCAGGTTTCGCCGACCCGTCTTTGGACTGGGTCTCCTGGTGACGCGTCTGCGTTCCACGTCTGGGGCTGCCTTGCTCACGTCCGTGCCTCCGGCACGGACAAGCTCACTGCCCGCACCCTTCCCTGCGTCTTCCTCGGTTTTCCCCTTGACGCGTCCGACTGGCACTTTTACCACCCGCCGTCTCACCGCTTCTTTCACTCTCGTGACGTCACCTTTGACGAGTCCGTCTCCTACTACCGCCGCTTTCCCCACCGTGGTCCCCCGGTTACCCCCCCCTGTTCCTCGTCACCCCTTCCCCGGTAGTCCCTGCCCCTCCTCCTCCTCCTCCCGTCCCGCCCCCTCTGGTGTGTCCTACGTCACCCCCCTTCCGTCTGTGGACCCGGTTGAGGAGTCTTCTGACTCTGGTGGCCCTCCTGTGCAGTCCTCGCCGGCCGCCCCTCCCCAGGTGTCCCCTCCCAAGTCCCCTCCTCCACCGCCACTACCGCTGCTGCAGCCGTCGTCGTCGCCGCCGCCGCCGCTGCCACCGTCGCCTCCGCCGCCGCCGCTGCCGCCGTCGCAGCCCCCGTTCGCTGACTCTGGGGGTGCTCGTCCCGGTCGCCCTGGGGGTGGTCCCTCAGGGGGTGCTGGTGTGGAGAGTGCCGGGGGTAGCCGAGGAGCAGCTTGCGGTCCAGGTGTCGCCGTTGTGCCGCCGCAGCAGCAGTCCCCGCCGGTGTCCGCCCTTCGCCTGCTCGGCCTTCCGTCACCCGACCCTGCTTCTGTTCCTCCCGGCCGTCTCCTCCTCTTCCTGTCTACGGCCCTGTTTTTCCTCCGCCGGACTCGTCCCCGGCTCGTCTCCCCCTCGTTCCCCTCCTGTGTCCCCTCCCCTGTCTCCTGACCCAACTCCTCCGTCGCACGTCTGGTCTCACCGCCCTCCCGTGCTCGTCCTGCCTCGCCTGTCTTGCGCTCCCACCCTATGTTGCTTCGTTCCCACGCGTCTCGTCCTCCCCTTCTCCCGTCGCCTCCTCCGTCCTCCCTTGTTGTTGCGCCCCCCCGCTGTCCGACTACCTTCGTGCCGCTCGTCCTCTCGTTCCTCGGGTCCTTGCCTCTCTCGTTACAGACCCGTCTGTTTCGGTCTCGTGCCTTGACGCTCTTGTTGCTGCTGTCGCTGACTTCGCCTCTACCCGCCGCCTTGACTACGCCACCGCTCTGGTCTCTGACCCTGCCTGTCCTCCGTCTGTCGGGGGTGCTCCTGCCTTGGCAGTGACGTCCTGGAGGACCGCCAGTTCGAGCTTACTTTCCTCTCCGAGGCTGCTCCCCATCTCTGTTCCATGCTGCTAGTCCCTGAGGGTGACCCAGACGCTTTCGACATCCCGACCCCTCGCACTTACGCTGAGGCGACTTCGGGACCCTAGGCCTCGCAGTGGATAGCTGCCATGGAGCAGGAGATGGCATCTTGGAGATCCACCGGCACCTTCGTCGACGCAGTTCCCCCACCTGGGGTGAACGTAGTCGATGGCCGCTGGCTCTTCAAGGTGAAGCGCCCTCCTGGAGAACCGCCTGTCTTCAAGGCGCGCTATGTGGCCAGAGGCTTCAGTCAGCGCAAGGGGGTGGACTTCTTCCAGACTTTCGCTCCGACCCCGAAGATGACTACTCTTCGGGTTCTGTTACACCTAGCTGCTCAGCGTGACTACGAGCTTCACTCCCTCGACTTCTCCACTGCCTTCCTTCAGGGCAGCCTACACGAGCAGGTCTACCTGCGTCGCCCTCTGGGCTTTACTGGCACCTTCCCTCCTGGGACCCAGTGGCTCCTGCGGCGCCTCGTCTACGGCCTGTGCCAGGCTCCCCGTGAGTGGCACGACACTCTCCGTGCTACCCTTGCTGACCTGCAGTTCTTTCCGTCTTCCGCAGACCTTCACTCTTCGTTCGTGCTGGCCAGACTCCGTTCTACATCCTTGTTTACGTCGACGACCTGGTCTTTGCCACGGCAGACAGGGACGCACTGGCCTCCGTGAAGGCAGAGCTGCTGAAGAGACACACCTGCACTGACCTTGGAGAACTGCGCAGTTACCTTGGCTTGCAGATCTCCAGGGACAGAGCTGCGCGCACCATCACCCTGACTCAGTCACACTTGGTGCGCCAGGTCCTTCAGAGGTTCAGCCTTCATTTCTCCTCTGCACAGCCCACCCCTCTGCCTGTAGATCACAGACTCTCCGCTCCAGTACCTGAGGAGTTGGTAGAGCCCAGCGGCCCTACGCAGAGCTGGTGGGTTGCCTCATGTACCTGATGACTTGCACTCGCCCAGATCTCGCATACCCTCTCAGCATCCTGGCACGCTTTGTGGCCACAGGCAGACACCGACCGCAGCACTGGTCTGCGCTCAGAGGGTTCTGCGTTATCTTGCTAGTACATCAGGCATGGGGTTAGTGCTTGGAGGACGCAGGCCAGTGGTCCTTACTGGACACACAGACGCTTCGTGGGCAGACGACGCTGAGACACTCAGGTCTACCCAGGGCTACTGCTTCAGCCTTGGCTCAGGTGCCGTCTCGTGGAGAGCTACTCGCTCCTTGTCTGTTGCGCAGTCCAGCTGTGAGGCTGAGATCTACGCTGGTGCCATGGCGGCACAGGAGCTCCGCTGGCTGACCTTCTTGCTCACTGACTTAGGTGAGCGTCCTAGCTCTGCCCCGGTCCTGTTCGCTGACAACAGGGCCATGATCCTCCTGTGTCAGGAGCCTCGACTTGAGGGCAGAGCGAAGCACATTCAGCTGCGGTACTTCCTCCTGCGTGAGCTACAGCAGCGACGTCAGGCTCGCGTAGTACACTTGGCCTCAGGTGCCAACACCTGCACCAAAACCCGCCTGCACCAGAACCCACCTGCACCAGAGTCCACCTGCACCAGACCCCACCTGCACCATACCCCACCTGCACCAGAATCCACCTGCACCAGAACCCACCTGCAGCTTCATGTGCGTGTAGAGCTGCTTGATGGCCGCCACACATTTCTCGTCCTTCTTGCCGTAGTTGCTCTGCGTGCAAGGGACAAGCATGGGAAAGTGGGGGCGTTTTTAGATGCCATGGTTGCTCTGCGTTCAAGGCAGGGAGGGTGAGGAGGGAGGCGGGTTTGAAGTGCCATAGTTGCTCTTTATGCAAGGGAGAGGCAGGGAGTGAGCAGAGAGGGAGAGATGGTGGCGAGTGCGGTGGACAGGCAGGGAGGGTGACGTGACGGCATAAATGTCAGTGATCATCTGGTGCCTGCTGACGACACCTGTGCGCACCCCACCTGAGCCACCAACACGGAGTGACAGCAAGGCGTGACTTACCTCTATGATCTGCCGTTGCTCCTCTGACACCTGCTGCAGGGCCGTCACCACCAGCCACGAGCACTTGGTGTCCTCTATGTCCATGCCCACCTGAGAAAAGCAAATGGGGTTTTAAGAGTAGAGGAAAGGTGCATGGGAGCCATCTGGTTGCAAGGAAGGGTGACGCCTCAAGGCATGCACCAGCAGCCACAAGCACTTGGTGTCCCAGACGTCATAGACGTTCTAGATGTTCGTGCCCACTTGGTAGAGGGGGATGAGAATGGGAGGTACGGTGCATGGGAGCGAGCAGCTAGCAGTCGAGCATGTCGAACTGCACGGGACCCTAAATCGCCAGCCCTAAACCCTAAACTGAGAATTGGAAGCACTCAACCCCACGCTGTCTCTCACCTTGCCGATGACAACAGGGTCGCCATAGCAGTCCATCGTCCTGCACGTGCAAGTACGTCCGCATGTCAGCCCCGTCTCTCCAGCCTACACCCCAACATTAAGAACTACGCCAAGCACATGCCCCATGTCTCTCACCTCGCCAATGACAGCAGGGCTGCCATAGCAGCGCAACACATCGTCCTGCACTTGGAAGTACCTCCCCATCTCAGCCATCCCTACACCCAACTCAAAGCCATGAGCCCACCTTGCCTCCATATCCCAATATCTTGCCTTACATGCCCCACATTCCCCACCTTTCCAATGAAAGCAGGGTCGCCATAGCAGTCCAGCACGTTGTCATGCACCTGGAAGCACGAATCCATCTCAGCCATCCCTACACCCAACTCAAAGTTGTGAGCCCACCGTGCCCCATACGCCTCACCTTGCAATGACAGCGGGGTCGCTGTAGCAGTCAAGCACGTCGTCCTGCACCTGGAAATACGTCCCCATCTGCACCAGAATCTCCTTGGCCTGCGCTGCCAGTGCTGCATCCTCGACTCCCACTAGCATCAGCGCACATGCCACTTGGGAGGGGAGAGAAGGTACAACATGGGAGAGGGATGAGAGAGGGTTCTTCTAGCCACAGCATTTTCTAGCCAGAGAGCATGCCGGATGGCCGTGCCCTGCACCAGAATGTCCTTGCCATGCGCTGCCGCCAGCGCCGAATCCTCCATGCAAGCCAGGACCAGCGCACACGGCACATGGGAGGGGAGGAAAGGTAACCAGTGGAGGGAGAGGGGGCAAGCAGGGGTAGGCCGTCCGTCGCCTTCAACACAGAGCCCTACCAACCTCGCCTTGGCGGCTGAGGTGTGGTGTGGCCTTGAGAAGGGCCCGTCTGACCTCGAGAATTCTTGAGAAGGCCTCTTGCATGTGTTAGGGGCGTTGTGCTAGAGTTGAAGGGTCCTCTGGAGAATTCTCAAGAGGATCCGGCAACCCCAAGGGAGTGTCGCAAGTGCAGCGGGGATGAGATGTGAAAATGTGCAGACGTGCAGTGCGGTGTTGGAGAGCTGACTCGGTGTGGTTAAATATGCGGCGTGGTTGAGACGAGAGCGTGGAATGTGCTTACAGTGTGGTAGAAGGAATAGTAGGCTGTCTTGTACTGCACGATCTTGAGGTGTCTGCTAGGGCGAAGGAGCGAAAGGAAACAGTTAGCAGAAGGGAGAGGGAGGTGAGCAGGTGGAAAGTTAGAGGGAGGCAGAAGGAATAGTAGGCCTTGTACTGCACAATCTTGAGGTACCTGCCACGGAGAGGGAAGGAGGAGAGGACCAATTGAGGTCTCGAGACGGGAGAGAGGGATGGCGGAAGAAGACAGAAGTAACATGCCTCTCTCCATTTAGAGAGGGATGTGCCTTGAGATGTCTCCAAGGAAATGAGGAAAGGAAGAGGCCAGGAGACTGAACACGGATGGATTGGTTGGTAAGAAGCAGCGTTGAGTGCAGGTTCTATACATGAGAATGTGCATGCTATGCTGCAGGCCTGTGGCAGGGCATGGGGAATTGGCATGGTACACCCACGTGGATATGGTGTATTTGTTGAGGTCCACCTCCCTTCAGGAGAGGGGAGAAGAGAAGAAAGAGGGGAAGAGTGGGAGAAGAGGAGGAGAGGAGGAGGAGAAGAGGGGGCGAAGAGAGGGAGAAGAGGGGGAGAGGAGTAGGAGAGGAGGGGGAGAGGAAGGGATGAAGGGGAGCGAAGAGGGGGAGACGAGGGGGACAAGAGAGGGAGAAGAGGGGAGGGGAGAAGAGGGGGAGAGGAGGGGTGAAGAGGGGGAGAGGAGGAGGAGAAGAGGGGGCGAAGAGAGGGAGAAGAGGGGGAGAGGAGTAGGAGAGGAGGGGGAGAGGAGGGGGAGAAGGGGGGAGAAGAGGGGGAGACGAGGGGGAGAAAGAGAGGGAGAGGAGGGGGAGAGGAGGGGAGAAGAGGGGTAGAGGAGGGAGAGAAGAGGGGGAGAGGAGGGGGAGAAGAGGGGGAGAGGAGGGGGAGAGGAGGGGGAGAAAAGGAGGGGGAAGGAGGGGGAGGGGGGAGAAGGAGGGGAGGGGGGGAGAAGAGGGGGAGAGGAGGGGAGAAGAGGGGGAGAGGAGGAGGAGAAGAAGGGGACGAAGAGGGGAAGAGGGGAGAGGAGGAGGAGAGGAGGGGAGTGGAGGGGGAGAAGGGAAGAGAAGAGGGGGACGAGGGGGAGAAGGGAGGGAGACGAGGGGGAGAGGAGGGGGAGAAGAGGGAAGAGGAGGGGGAAGAGGGGAGAAGAGGGGGAGAAGAGGGGGAGAAAGGGGGAGAAGAGAACGAGAAGAGGTGGAGAAGAGGGGACGAAGAGTGGGAGAAGAGAGGTCCAGAAATGCGGTAGGAGTGGTGATGAGGTCGATGTTGTGAACACACCTGCTTGATAACAACGAGGATCGAAGAGGGGATTGGGAAGCGAAGAGAGGGGTGCGGGAAAAGGGTGGGTGGGGAAGGACGGGGTAGGGGAGGGGGAGAAAGGCGGGAAAGAGAAGAGGCGTACCTCGTTAAATAGGTCGAGCAGGCGTGTGTAGGCGGGGTGGGAGGAGAAGTTGTGGGCGTTGAGCAGCACGGCATCGTTGATGGCGATCATGCCCACCTGTATGGAGGTATAGGTGCATGGAGGAATGGATGCATGGAGGCATGAAGGCATGGATGCAAGGAGGCATGGATGCATGGAGGCATGGATGCACAGAGGCATGGAGGCATGGATGCATGGATGCATGGAGGCATGGAGGACGGTACACTAGTGAAATCATACATACTGTATTTCGACAGCGCCTCTGGTTGAGGAGGTTACTATTGCTGAGAATAGCAAAAAGCAGTTTTCTCTACTGAAAACTCGAGAGCTTTCACTAAATTTCAGTAGAAACAAGTGATACATTCGAAGTCCAACAAACGCGTAATGAACAGACATAAAGAAACGAGAAACAAGGTTGATGCGCTTTGCATTTCGGATTTCACTGCGGTCCAAGTCGCCCCATTTTGACCTCAGCTTCGTAACCGAACTGTGCACCAAAATTCGGTGCTTGTCGTTTGTCTTCTGAATGTGCACTGAATTATAGTTATACATATCTTGCATATGTAGAAGTTATAGGCTAGTAGGGTTCGTGCTCTTAGAGTGTACAATTCCCAACCATGTATTGCCTTGTATCCCCTCATTCTACTCATTCCATTATTATGAGATTGTATCAGCTAGGTTACGTCCCTTCACCCGCGCTTGCGCCCTAGCCCGCCTTGGTCGTCAGGGCCTCAGATTGCAGGCTTTTTACTCAGATTCAGGGTAAAATCAGGGCTCTATTAGGGGGTGGCTCTGATGAGACAGCCTTTTTTTGGGACACGCGCCTGAAATTTCAGTGTTTTTGCAGGAATGAACTTTGATCGATCAGCATGACTAGTGTAGTGAGCCCTGTTTGTCCAACCTTTTATCAGGGGCCGAACTTGATTCGCGTAATAGCGGACTCGCAGCCCCCATCCCTCCACCTGTGATTTTTGTGAGTTTCCCCCACCCTCCCTGTCAATCTCGCCGTTTTGAATGCGACTGACCATTTTTGTTTCCCACCGGTTGCACTCCCAGAGCCCAAACCTAGCCCTGGTCCCTCTACGCCTGCTGCCGTTGAGAGCCCTGCTACCGCATAGTACTAGGCATATCTTACTCAGCGTGCGTTCTGTGTGTAATCCTGTTTACTAAGCGCGGAAAAATCGAACGACCCTGATGGATCAAGGAAATTTTTCTCTGAGGGGCCTGAAAAATCAGGGGACCAGGGGGGGGGGGGGTGGCTGAGCTATCAGTGTCAACATATTTTGTACATGTCTCATAGGCTAGATAGGCACGTACTCTTAGAGGGTACGACCCCTTAGACAAAACCACAATGTTTGCCTTCATTCTAGTCAATCTTTCTACGCTAACATGGTATCTCACTAGGTTAGGATCCCACCCAACCACATTTCCGCCCTAGTCCTAGCCCTAGACCTAGCCGCCTATCGCTTGCCGCCCGTAGCTAGCTGCCCGTCTCTAGCCGCTCACCGCTAGCTGCCGTAGCCGCCCGTCGATTGCCAGCCCGCACCTGCTGGCCCAAGCTCGCCGGCTTCCGTGCCTACTGGCCCCGCGCCCGCTGCCCCCGCGTTCACCAACTCTGCGCCCGCCAGTCCTGTGCCCGTCAGCCCCGCATTCGCCAGCCCCGCGGCCACTAGCTCTGTGCCTGCTGGCCCCGCACCTGCTCGCTGGCCCTGCTTTCACCAGCCCCACGCTCGCCAGCTCCGTGCCCGCTGGCCCGTGCCGCAGTGTAGAGCCGCCGTGCCGCGGCGCCGCTGTGTCGCCATGCCGCCGTGTCGCCGTGCCGCTGTACCGTCGTGGCGCCATGCCGCCGTGCTGCCGTGGCGCCGTGGCGCAGTGCCGCCGTGCTGCAATACTGCAGTGTCACCGTGCCTTCGTGTCGCCGTAGCGCCGTGACCTCATGTCGCCGTGTTGCCGTGCCACCGTGCAGCTGAGGTCACTGGATGGCGGACGCTGTGCTCCGCCTGGACACGGAGGGGCGGGCGATCGTCTTCGAGGCGTGGCTCATTGACCTTCGCCGTCACCTGACAGTTCAGTGCCAGGACGGTTACTCCCTAGCTGTTCGTGTCAATGGTATGCTTCCCTCCCAGCCGCGCCTGCTGCCCTCCTTGATGCCCCCACCACTGCTGAGCATGAGGCCTTTTCCTCTGCTATGCTTGCTCGCGCTGTCTGGGAGTCGCCATGGAATTTTTAGTTGCAATCGTTGCGCGCTATTCCATGCCCGCCTCAGCCTCCGCAGGCCGCCTGATCTGCCCCATGCTGTTCCCTAATCTTGCGTCCTTCCCCAATGTCGCTGACCTTGCAACTCACCTCCACGCACTTGGTGCTAGCTACCACGATGCTAGCACTGAGGCCTAGATTGCTGTCTTCCTGCCGCCGCTTTGCACTACCCTTTACCTCATTGTTATGCGTCTTCCGGACCGCCTAGCCACTGCACGCGACCATTTCTTTAGGCAACACCCAGGTGACCTCACCCTTACCGCCTTTATCACTACCCTGTCCGCGATAGAGACCCACCAGAGCACTATCGCGCAGTCTAGCGGTACTGCGGCGGTCCCTATCTTTCAGGGCTGTGCTCCCTCCCAGTGCACTTTCTCTGACGTTTCTGCCGCTGTCGCTGAGACAGCCCCTGCTAGGAGACCGCCGCTGCGGCCTCAGTGCAGCAGCGTCAGGGTAGGGGCCGCCGCCTCAAGGGGGGTCATGGCGGAGGAAAGAGTGGTGGGGGTGGTGGGGGTGGTGGGGGTGGTGGAGGTGGGGGCAGGTGGTTCAGACGAGGGGACTGGGGCTGGTGCCCCGGAGCAGCAGCAACAGCAGACTCAGCAGCAGCAGCAGTCGCAGCAACAGCAGCAGTCGCCGTGGGGACCCCCGCCGCCGAGGTGGACTGGCAGCGCTGGTGGTGGTCGTCGTGGTGGTGGGTGGGTGCAGCTCGGTGTCAGGTGGCAGCACCAATGTGGTCACCGGCCAGTAGCAGCTTCAGTCCAGCCTCCACTGCAGCACCATCTGCGACCGTCCCGGGCACACTACCGCCTGGACGACCTCTACCATCTCTGCTTCAGCCCAACGGTGGACCCTCTTGACTGGTACGCCTTGGCCCGCCGCCATGTGCCGGTCTTTGAGCTTGACATGGATCAGCTTAGGTCTACTATGTATGCTGATAACTCTCGTGTAGGCTCCACGCCAGCCCCTCCACCGGCTGACGCGAGTGCTTCGCTCTCTCTTACACTCGACTCTGGAGCGTCCGCCTGCTTCTTCCGCGACCACACTGCGCTCACGACGCTTGCCGCCCTTGTTGCTGTCGCACTTGCTGACCCCTCCTCAGGTCCGGTACTTGCTCGTAGCTCCACCATCCTTCCCTGTCCGGCGGTCCCATCGGGTTCTCTTACAGCCGTGCACATCCCCTCCTTCTCCAGGACCCTAGTTGGTGTCGGCTGTCTGTAGAACCTCAGCGTCATCACTACGTTCCTCGGACACGAGCGGTACGCAATCTGTACCAAGGCCACCACTGGTGCCCCTCTCACCACAATCCCCCAGGACCCCGTGTCTGGCCTGTTAACGCTTGACACCGCGTCCCCCTCTGCAAAGGCGTCCCCCTAGGTGCCTTAGTCCACCCTGGTCGCTACGGCTTGCTCATGTCAATCACTCACTCACGTGTCGCTTCTATGACACCACCGCCTAGGTCACCCTGCACTTCCGCGTCTATATGATACGTCCCATCACGGTCTTGTCTTCAGTCTCTCTGTGTCGCTCCTTGCCCTTCCCCCTCACCTATGCCGCCGTGCACGCCTTGCATTGAGAGCCAAGTGCGCCATGCTCCTCACTTCTCCTCGCTCCCCCCTACCACTGCACCACTCCACACTTTGCAATTAGACGTTTGGGGCCAAGCCCCCGTCCCTGGGCCACGTCGAGAGCGCTACTTTCTAGTGCTTGTCAACGACTATACACGCAACACGACGGTTTTCTCCTAGAGCGGAAGGCCGACGTGCCTGACGTTCTTATCCCGTGGGTCGTAGCTGCGCGAGCCCACGGCGGCCTCCCTGGGCTACGTCTCCACTCTGACCGTGACGACGAGTTCGCCTCCGGTGGACGTGGCCTGTTCTATCATGCGGAGGGCATCACCCAGTCATACACCCTGCCGGACTCCCAACAGCAGAATGGGGACGCTGAGCAACGCATTGGTTTGGTTATGGAGGTGGCTCGTACCTCCATGATCCATGCCGGTGCACCCCATTTTCTATTGTTGTTTGCTGTTCGCTACGCCGCTGACAGCTTAACCTGTGGCCGCACTTTCAGCGGCCGCAGGTTTCGCCGACTCTTCTCTGGACCGGGTTCCCTGGCGACGCGTCTGCGTTCCACGTCTGGGGCTGCCTTGCTCACGTTCGTGCATCTTGCACGGACAAGCTCACTGCCCGCACTGTCCCTTGCGTCTTCCTTGGTTCCCTCCTCGATGCGTCTGACAAGCACTTTTTCCATCCGCTGTCTCACCTTCTTTCACTCGGGTGACGTCACTTTTGAAGAGTCTGTCTCCTTCTACCACCGCTTTCCCCACTGACGTCTCCCGGTGTCCCCGCCCCTGTTTCTGGTTCCCTCTCCCCCGGTATCCCCTGTTCCTCTCCCTCCCCGTCATGCCCTGTCTGGTGTGTCTCACGTCACTCCCCTCCCGTCGGTTGTCCCGGACGAGGAGTCGGCTGACTCTGGTGGCCCCGCGGCGCTGTTTTCGCCGCCTGTCTTCGGGCCAATGTCTCCTCCTCCGCCGTCGCTGCCGTAGCAGCAGCCGCCGCAGGAGTCCGCGATCTCTCGGGTTGCGGGCGCTGCGGAGGGGAGTGCTAGTCCTGGGGATACTATCGTGGCTTGTCTCGGCGGTCCTCGAGGTGGCATTGGTGTTGGAGAGGGTTCTCGTTTTGGGGTTGCTGGTTCTGGGGGTGCTAGTCCTTGCGTTACTGTCGTGGCTTGTCCTGGCAGTCTCGAGGTTGGCACAACTGTTGGAGAGGGTTCTCTCTCTGGGAGTGTTCGTGTGGAGTGTCCCAAAGGTAGCCGTGGTGCAGCTACAATTTCTTGTGCTAGCGCGGAACAGCAGCAGCAGCAGCAGCCGCCGCCAGTGTCCGCACTTCACCTCCTCAGTCTTCCCTCCCCTGCTTACCCGCCTGCGCCTACCTTGCCGCAGCCTCCCCTGCGTATCTACGGCTATGTTGCTTCGTTCCCACGCGTCTTGTCCTCCCCTCCTTACGTCGCCTACTCCGTCGTTACTTGTTGTCACTCCGCCTCCTCTGTCTGACTACCTTCCTGCCGCTAGTCCTCTTCTTCCTCGAATCCTTGCCTCCCTCGTTACTGACCCGTCTGTTCCCGTCTCGTGTCTTGACGCGCTTGTCGCTGCCGTCACTGAGTTTGCCTCTACCCATTGCCTTGACAACGCCACCGCTCTGGTCTCTGCCCCTGTCCGCCCTCCGTCCATCAAGGGTGCTCCTGACCTTGGCAAAGACGTCCTGGAGGACCGGCAGTACGAGCTTGCTTTCCTGTCCGAGGCCGAGCCTCATCTCTGTTCCATGCTGCTAGTCCCTAAGGGGGACCCAGACGCCTTTGAAATCCTTACCCCTCGCACTTACGCTGAGGCGACCTCGGGACTCTGGGCCTCTCAGTGGATAGCTGCCATGGACGTGGAGATGGCATCTTAGAGACCCACTAGTACCTATGTAGCGGTAGTTCCCCCACCTGGTGTGAACATAGTCGATGGCCGGTGGCTCTTCAAGGTGAAGCACCCTCCTGGAGAGCCGCCGGTTTACAAGGCGCGCTACGTTGCTAGATGCTTCTGTCAGCGTGAGGGTGTTGACTTCTTCCAGACCTTCGCCCCGACCTCGAAGATGACTACTCTTCGGGCGCTGCTACACGTAGTAGCAAAGTGTGACTATGAGTTGCACTCTCTCAACTTCTTGACAGCGTTTTTTCAGGGGAGTCTGCACGAGCAGGTCTACCTGCGTCGCCTGCTAGGCTTCACCAACACCTTCGCCCCGGGGTCCCAGTGGCTCCTCCAGCGTGCACCATCACTCTCACACATTCACACTTGAAGCATTGGGTCCTTTAGAGGTTCGGTCTTCAGTTTTCCTTTGCACAGTTCACACCTCTGCCGGTTGATCACAGACTCTCGGCTCCAGTCCCTAAGGATTTTATTAAGCCTAGTGGTCCTAACATAGAACTGGGGGGTTGCCTCATGTACCTGATGACTTGCACTCGTCCAGATCTCGCATACCCTCTTAGCATCCTGGCTCGCTTTGTGGCCACATGCAAACACCGACCACAGCACTGGCCGGCAGCCAAGAGTGTTTTGCGTTATCTAGCAAGTACATTGGGCATGGGGCTAGTGTTAGGAGGACAGAGGCCTATGGTTCTTACAGGGCACACAGACGCTTTGTGGGCAGACGACGCTGAGACACTCAGGTCCTCCCAGGGCTACTGCTTTAGCCTTGGTGCAGGCGCCATCTCGTGGAGGTCCACCCGTTCGTCGTCTGTTGCCCAGTCTAGCTGTAAGGCTGAGATCTACGCTGGTGCCATGTCGGCACAAGAGCTCCGCTGGCTGACTTTCTTGCACACAGACTTAGGTGAGCGGACTAGCTGACAACAGGGCCATGATCATCCAGTGTCAAGAGCCTTGACTGTAGGGCAGAGCAAAGCACATCCAGCTACGGTACTTCCTCCTGTGCGAGCTACAGCAGCGCCGCCAGGCCCGCGTAGTACACTTGGCCTCTGGTGCCATCAGAGCTGATATCTTTACAAAGGTGCTTCCGCCTAGCGGCTCGGTATACAGCTTGGTCTGGTTCCTGTGGATTCTCACTTGCTAGGAACATGATGTATACTTCCTCTTATATGATCTTGATTGGCCTTGTGGCTCTTGTTCCAGTGGTTGGACTAGTAGTGCCACCCTGGGTTACTCTTGTTTGGTTTGTTCTCTTGCTGACTGGTCTTTGGAGCCTTGCCTTAGATGTTGGACTAGTAGTGCCACCCTGAGCTGTGTGTCTCTTACCACTGCCCCTCATCTAGCCTAGGGGGTGTGTCAAACATATTTTGTATATATCTTATAGGCCAGATAGGTGCATACTCTTAGAGGGTACAACCCCTTAGACAAAACCACCATGTTTGCCTTCATTCTAGTCAATCTTTCTACGCTAACAATCAGGGTCCCCCTAAACAAATCTGAGGCCATGCTGGCCGCCCTAGCTGGCCACTTGCCTCTCGCGCATTGGCCCCTTGTCTGCTGGCCCCGCGCTCGCCAGCCCTAGCCCGCCAGCCCCTCGCCCGTTGGCCTCACGCTCACCGGCCCTAGCTCGCCAGTCGCTTGCCCGCTGGCCCCGCGCTCGCCTGCTGGCGCCACGCTTGCCCGCTGGCCCCGCTGCCCGCCGGCCCAAGCACTCCGGCCCTTGCGCGCCGGCCCTTGCTCACCAGATGCCCACTTCCCGCAGAGACAAAAGAATACAGGGTGGTTTTGTGCTAGTATGTTGTACTCTCTTAGAGCACAACCCTATCTAGCCTATAACAATATATGAATACAAGTTGACAAGAAAAGCCAAAATTTACGCAATGGACACGCCTTGAGAATGATAATTAAGAGTCTGCATTGTCGGTGGCGATGATTGTCACTGGTAGTCTAACGAAAGCCTTCAGATCAAATAGTTGTCGATGGGTTGAACTTGGCGAGATGGCCTGAAACTGTCTAGGCAATCAGGCCGTTTATCTTGAATGATGACCTCACAGATGAAAGTTGTCGAAACGATCGCTTTTAATCGTAGTCGTTAAAGATGG